TCTCTCTCTCTCTCTCTCTCTCTATCTGTGTGTGTGCGCGCGCATATTAACAAATTAATTGGTACATACCCCATGGGGTGGAAACGAATTTCATCCTCTAAATAAAGTTAACATTCCAAAATTATATATTTTTCCGAAGACACTAAATTATTTTTTTTTTAATCATCACACATTACATGAAAGTACATACTCTAAAGTAATTGTGCATATGATCGAGCAAAATACACAATTAAGATTGTAAATATTCCTATAAAAACGTGACATCTTATTCAAACATTCAAAAAGGTTTTGATCAGAATCAAACATTCCCTTTTCAGCATTATTTAGTTGGAAGATAGACGAACTACATAACCTATTATTTGCAAATCATTAAACATTTTGGTTGTTGCATTGATTTTAGAGTTGTTTATCATAATACCTTTCACATTCATTCTGATTTGCAATATTTATGTGTCTAATTACTTATTTAATGAAGTCCAACTTTTTACATCATACATAATGCTTCAAAAATTCAAGATAAAACTTGTTTCATGATTATTAATATAATAATAATACAAAAATTTGACAATATTGAGAAACATATCATTTGTCAAAATATTTTAGACGAGAAGAATTCGAATTCTATTATATTATGATACTCTTAGATATCTGTGAACATTATTATTATTAACTCCTTATTAGAGTTTATGGTCTGTATTATATAATATGGAATCATAATTAATGAGAACCAATTTCTTATAGAGAACAATATTAAATGGTATCGACAAAAAAATAGTAATTTTAAAAAAAATTTGTTTCTTGATATTGGTATTCATACTTTTCTAAGAAAATTCAATTTTTTTCTTTTCCCCATTGCATTACTATTGTTTTATTTATTTTTTATTTTAATGACAAATAATATTTTACTTTTTGAAAGAATTACAGCACATTCATATGCATTGCGTTTTTTTTTTTTACGTGTTTGATAGTACTAATATATTTGATAACAATTTATTTTTTATTATATTTATAAGATTAAAAATTTTTAGATTTTTTCCATGGTTTGATAAAATATTAAGTAACTAACTCATTTTCATATCCATAAAAAATATTTTTTACAACCACTATGGTGTTCCCTTTCAAGTAGTAATTGAAAAATAATTTAACATACAACTTGTTTATTTTTTCTTTTATTTCACATAGTTAATATCAGTAATAGTCATACGTTTACATCCATTTGCACTTTTTTTCTTAGTATGAAGATTTTTTTTTTTAAATCTATGTAAGAAAACTATACCACAAATTTATCTAATATTATTTGATAATTAATAAAATTGAGTTAACACAGATCTATAATTTAATTTATAAGATACTTATATGTCCATTTACTATTTTAATTGGTATTGATATATATATATATATATATGTGTGTGTGTGTGTGTGTGTGTGTGTGTGTGTGTGTGTGTGTGCGCGTGTTATTTTATATCGATAGAAATAATTATATTATTTTTATTTATAAACACATTGGTCAAATTAAACATTATTGAAAAGAAAGGATGTGATATATTACATATATAAGGGTAACAAATTAAAAAAGTACTAAGTATTTCAAAATTTAAAAATACCTTTATTAATTTTATCACTTTTTTTACTTTTGGATGGAATGCGAGTTAAAATTTTTCATTGTGTAATCTTACATTTTTATTAGGTAAAACATCATTCTTACCCCTTGTGTAATTATATATATATAATAACTGATTTAGTGAAAAATGCATAGAGTTAAGTATAGAACTCTTTGAGCCGTATGTCTTATTGTATATCTATTAATTATACATCTTTGTATTATATTATATATATAACTACAAGTTTTTCATTAATATTATACTCAAATATAAAAAGTTTTTATTCCGTATTTTTTTCTTTGACAAAACATTGCCTTATTAGAATAATGCAGATTGATAGATAGATTAGTAATGGTAATATATCGATATAATTTATTGCTAAAAATTAATTAATTTTCAACATATATAGGCATCATGATTCTCTAGATATTTTTAATTAATTTATAGATAATCATATAATCTAAGTTAAATCATGATGTGCTCAAACGGTATTTCATTCAACATGAAAATAAATAAATTGGGTTTTAGTATTATACAATTTCATAAAATTGTTCTA